AAAATTATTAATGCTAGGTTATTTTATTTTATTAAATACAACTTAATCTTACAACTACAAAATACTGCATGAGAAGCACGTTAATAAAAATGAAAATATATTTTTAAAAAAAGATAATAAATAATAATAACAAGTCGATAATCAGCGATCAGTAGCATCTATTTTAAGTTCATGTTATTTAACAAAAATTCTTTTTTTATTATAATATTGAATTGAAATGTTTCCAATTTTCAGATAAGAATAATGTTTAATTAACTTTAAATTAAGATTTTATTTAATTATTAAATAATCTCCAAAGAATAAAAAATTTATATTTTATATATATTTTTTTTTTGTTGAACAACATCCTTTATATACATTTTTTTAAATATTGGATTTAATCAAAATAGACAAATTAAACATATATATAAGAGAAACTCAAAATAATAGAACATGTCGAATACATATTAACAAATATTCTATCAATTTCAGGTGAAGATTAAGCATTAAACAACTATAAATAAATTTTCGATCTTCCAATTTTTGCAATTTCATTTCAATGCAGTTGATAAACAAAGTTACGTAATGTATTCAACTATATACATAGATTGTAATTTATTAATATTATTCCAACGTTACATTTAATTTATGTAATCATTATATAACAGACGAAATAATTATAATAATATTCAATGATAATATTAATAATACTAAAAGAACTTGAATATAAAAATTAAATAATTTATTTATAAAAATTAAACATTTATTATTACATGAATAAAAATAGATAGGGTATTTGAAATTAATTCTTATCATAATTTAACTATAATAAGATGTATAAGTGATAAACTTAGGTAAAAAATACGGTTTAAAAAAAAAATAAAAAAAATATGAGTGTAATGGAATCTTGAAAATTTATACTTATACTACTATATAGTAAAATATGTAATAAGATGAAAATGATTATGTTAATAATATAATCTAAAAATATATTAATAATTAGCTATAGTTATTAAAATTTTTTTAAGCAAGTCAGGAATCAGGTGAATATTTTTAATTAAAAAGTTGCTTAAAGTGAAAAACCTTTCTTCCATAATGATAATTTAATAAGGAAAATTGTTGAAAAAATAATGATCATTTTCCATTCTCTGAAATCGTAAGACCACAATGAATTATATCAGTTATTGATTAAATAAATTATTAATTTTCTTATATTTATTATATTTAATACTAATCATGGTATAAAACTTTGGAAATTATTTGATTAGAATAAACGATAACATTTAGACCTTTAAATTTATTTTTAAATCCAAGGTAAGTATTTTTTACAAATGCTTTAATATTTTACACCAAATGATCGAGTATATTTGTTAATAAAATGTTTAATTTATAATATATTTTGGGTATTTTTTACAATTTTAATCTTTAAAATCTACTGTTTTGTTTAGAGAATACACAAGATAATTTTATTGCTCGGATAATGAATAAATTATTAGTAATCAAGAAGTAATCAAGAATTTTATTGAGTTGGGATTTTATAAAAATATCTATTTTACTTTTAATATTTATCAAAGATTTATTTGTATAACAATTCCTAATTGTTATTTATAATTAAATTTAACTTTCGTATTATATAATATAATTTAATGTTATTTGAAAAAATTCTGTGAAAATTTTTTGATATTCTGAGCAATTAATTTTCATTGCGTTCCATTACGATAATATATTATACTATAACCGAAGAAATTCTATTACTAAATATGAATTATAAATTAATATAATTGATCATCAATAATATTATGTGCAAATGATAAATTTTTAGAGATATAATTTGCAAAGTTTTTTATAATTTTAGAAATCCAAATCCTATTTGAAATATTTTTCATGAAGATTGTTATATTTGTTATATAATATTCGATTAGTCCAGATTTTTTAGGTAAATGGACAGTACGTATCGGATTTACCGTTTTATCCGCAATTTAATAACAAAAGTTAAGAGTTCGTTAAAAATTCAGTTTGCTAAATTAAAAAAATATTTTAAATACATGATATTCAATACATATTTTATCAAACTTAATTCTGTTTAATTAATAAAATTTCCCAATGTATGAAGGAATATTAGTTTATTCTTAAAATTGTAGTTACATATAACAGTATTGCATATAATAATATAAAATGTAAATGAAGTTATAAAATAAATTTTACAACATGAAACGTGAAATTTTACATTAATATAATATAAAAATAAATAAAACATTGAGATTTCTTTTATTCTGTGATATTCATAAACATAGAAAGATCGCTAGTAGTTAGAGCACATATTCAACTCAATATTTCATAACATTTGTTATTATTATATATTTCAAATAAACATTGTTAAACAACGTTTATAGTTTATAATCAATTTTAATTCTCTAGGCATTTCTATTAAAATTATTACGTATTAAAATACAATAAAAGTCTATAGCATATTGTTATATATTGAGGAAAAAGAATAGATTTTTGTTGCACATTGCCTATGCAGTACATTGCAAACAAATAATCTACGTATAAAATGACTAAGAAAACGTTTTTTATAAAATTGTTTTGTTAGATTTATAAAATTGCTTACTACGTACAATTGATCATGATTTATAATAAAAATTTTTATTACTTTTAGGAACATTAATAAAACTCTAAAACATCGTGTATTTATATAAATATAGTATAAAATCAGGGAGTGAAAATAATTTTGTTATAATTACCAAATCATAAATTTGGTTAATATATTTTTGAAAATTACTTAATATAAAATAATAAATAATATTGAACCTATAAATATGTAAAACTATAATGCTTATGCAATAAAAATAATATTTTTTATAACTTAACTTTTTAAAAAGAATGTGAATAATTTTTATAAATATTATTTTTATATTGTGTTTATTTCGTATTATGATTTTAATTGTTTCAGACATCAATTAAAATAATTTTTATTGCCCACATTTGTTCTTATAAATATATAAATGTACATATTGTGCAAGCGATTTATATTTATTATTTAGTAAGAGACAGTATAAGAAATTATAAAAACATACAAAATGAAATGAGCACGTTTTTATGCTAATTTTTTATCTCTTGATATAATTTTCATTGCATTCTACTATTTCATAATTATTCAATAATTGCAATTTTACATGGGCCATAAGGTAAATTTGATTTAAATTATTTAGATTTTGAATAATTTTTAGAAAAATGAATATTTAAAATAACAGAATATCATGAAATTTATAAAATATTACAGTACAGCATTAAAAAAAATTGTAAAGTAGATGTCTCTTAAAATTTACATAAGTACTATGATTGTTTTCTTAATTAAAACATTTACTTTCTGCAACTATAGAGTTTTTACTAATTTCCTCATTTTTATCACATACAAGCTCAATTATTATAATTTGTTATAGTTAATTGAAACGATGACTTTTATTTTATTTGAATTCTATATAAAAATTATAAAACTTTAAACATGAATCTCTACAATTTGATATATCTTATCTAAAATGAGATATGAGCATGTCTTTACATAATAATGCATACTCGGTAAAAGAGTTTTTAATAAGTAAACTTTTTTTATCAGTACAATTCTTAATTAAAATTTGTGGAAATCTTTTCTCATATTTTGTTTTAACATATAAATTACTTAATACATTCAATAGTTTCAGTTACTTTGGCTTTAGTATACTGAGCCATATTTTTGCATTGTATTGTCAAGCTCGTATCGTGAATCTTCGAAGATTTTATTTTATACAGATATTTTCTGATAATTTTTTTTTTTTTTTTTTTATGTTAATTTCTAATAAGAATTACTAAAAAATTACTAAAGATTACTATATTATTCATATTTAAGAATTAATTGATTTATTATCATTACCGTTAAATATGTATTTGAAACTATATATCACATTTTCAAGAATAATCACATTACATTTATTTATCAAGTTTTATATGCAAGAACTGAATTTTTCGTAAAAATATATTTTAGTTTTCCGTAGATAGTACATTTTGCAATATATTTAACATTACTAAGAAAAAAAAATAAAAAAAATAAATACAAAAAATAATAATGAATTAAATGATTAAAAACATATTGTTAAATAGTTTTTGATGATTTCTATTCATATTTGAAAATACATATGAACAAATAAATATAAAAGAAAAACATTTGTATAGAAAATCATTATATTTTATAATATTCATTTATGATTATATAATGAAAATTGCTTAAAATAGTATTTCATTTATTTAATACGATGTTATATATCTCCCTAGTTATCAACTTTTTGCTATTTTTAATGACAAATGCATAATGAAAACAAGATTATCAGTTTCGTTGGCAATAAGTAGATTTGTATATACAAATTGTTTTTTTTTCTATAAACTGGAATTGAAATTAAGGGCAAATTAAGGGCAGATTGGACATAATAAATTATCGGAAGAAGACAGTATTAATAATAAAAATATAACTGAAATATTAATATATAAATTCGTTTTAGAATAAATGTCTAACTTTCATTGCACAATTAAATTTTATATTTAATTTTCTCCATGTATAATAATAGTACTTCTTATTTTATTAATTATAGTATATATATATAATATCGTTATAAATATTAATTTTTTAATGCAATTAATTCGAGTGTTAATGTTCTAATAGAAATTGCATTAATGTTGAAATTGTTTGCAGGTATACTAATTATTATTTTTCGCCTAAAAATTTTAAAGTATTGTTCTTTAAACAATTGTTTATTTGTTGAACGTATATATGCCATATAGTAAAGGTATATGTATATTTTTACTGTGCATATATTAATATAATTGATTTCATCATTAATAGTAATTCATTTCGACCATGCAAATAGAGTACGAATCAAGAGCATCCGTAACATTGACGTAGCAGAAAACGAAGAGAGAGAGAGAGAGAGAGAGAGAGAGAGAGAGAGAAATGAGAAGAGGATTGAAATAAAAGGATTTGCGCTAATTACCGTGTCGATAATAATCTCCAAAGAAGTTGCCCGAGCATCGTTGCAATAATTGCATGCCTCCAACGGCGTCTGGATTTCGGAAGTGTGCTACCGCACCAGATGCCCTCCTCGGCTCTCGTTTTTTCTCGAGGTCGGGAGCCATTCAAAATCTATTTCTCCAGCGCACACTCATTACTCCGATTGTGTTGCATGCGCATGTAATCGCGATGAAGCTTATCCCCACAATATCGATAATGTCCTCCTCCCCTATGCACTTTTGCGGCGTTTCATTTCCCCGTAGCACTTGAAATTGTAAGAAGAATCTTCCTTGCGAGGAACAAACACCGCACTCTCGCTTTAGCACACGTGAGTAGTTCCGACTGATCACCGACCTACCCGTAAGTGCGAGGGAGACTGACCGAAGTTGAAGTTGGAACGAGTCGAAACAACGCCATAGTGACACGCCGAATATCCCAGTAAATATTCCCCCACTAGAGCATCACTTTTCCCGACTCACTGTATATTAGAGCCGATGATACCGAGGCGCCGCTCCAGCTCCACCCCCCTCCCCGACCCAACCATCTAGTTGTAGCTATCGCGCTCACTCTATCTTTCAGTCTCTTCTTTTCAAGACGTGCGCAAGTTCGATTCTCTAAACTAGAGTCCCCCGCTACACACCCCTCAACAATATTTATCCAATGGAACATCAAAAATTAGAAGACACACCATTCGCAATCAAAAGTTAAATACCTACTCGAGAATTTTACGCAGAAAGTCCGTTACTTACGTGTGACGACGCCTGTTGAGCATGAATTGCGGCTGAGCCGATGTATCTTCGTGTAGCATGTACATGTGTAGCAGCTGTTTATAGAGCCCAATAATAATTAACAATTGTCTATTAATCGTATATAATAAATAAAACAATTGTATGTGAGAATAAATCGTTTATATAAAGTAATTGTGCGATTATAATTCAATAACCATGAATATAAATAACAACCATGTCAACCGTAATCTTGGTAGCCAATTTTTAATTAAAAATTTGCAATTATCCAAGTTAATGTGGCTGACCCGAGATATCTAAGATGAAAAGTCTTATCATCTTTTACTAAGGCTGACAGACATGATAGCGTGAATAACACGACTCATTTTAACGACTGACACGTCATTTAAGACTAACAGACTCAGACGATCTTTAATAATCTCACTCGTTTCACGAATGCCATTTTAAAGCTGAATATATTCGCATAGATAATATATTTCTTGTTAAATAAATACAGTGAATAATATCTTACTTCCAACTCACATATTGATATATACACATATATATATATATATATATATATATATATATATATACGTATTAAAAAGAAATGGATAAAATTAATAGATAATTTGCAATATTCTATCATTGATTACATCACAAAATATCAATCATTCCCTACTCAACTTTTAAATAATATTTAATATACAAATACACACAATCGTTATAACAAAATACAATTCTTTGTATAATAATAAAGCGTTAATCGATCATTTTACTTGATTTGTATTTATTTTGTCTGAAATTACAAGCGCTATTTAAATTGTATTTAAATTTTTGTGCATAAATTATTTTTTATTTGTGAAGAATGTACTTTCTTTTTTTTTCTTTAATGACAATAAATCGATTCGACTTTTCAAAATGGATTCGATTCAAAATAGATGTGCTATTACAACATTAAATTTGCATCTTTTTATTCATTAGCTTATAGTAAAAACAAAAAACAAAATTTCTTTGAAAAATTTATAATATTATAATGATTTATACTTCATTAGCTACAGAAATTATATTATATTTATATCTTTAAATACAATATAATGAATAATTTAAATATATTCGATGCATATCATCTTCCACACTACTTAAATTAAAGCTTTCAACTTCGCAGTTACAAATTTGTGTATTTAGATATATTTGTTTTAACTTGATATGATCAGATAAATTTGATAAGATATTACAAAACTCGTATGTTTAAAATCTCAAATATACTAAAATGAATAAATGCTTTAGATAAACTTCGTAAGTTGACGAAAATTATCAAATACTTAAATAGCTTCATTTTTCAAGAATAAACCTTCGATTTAAATGAATTCAAATATAAAATTTTTTAATAATATTATAATATTTTTTAGGAAATAAAAAATATTAATAATTGCATTATTTGGATAAACATTAATACTAAATTATACTAATGCATCTTTTAATCAAACATATTTAAAATTTAAATAATAATTAGTTTATAATTAACAATGACAAGCATAATTTTTATCAAGTGATTTTTAATTTAGTGGATAAATTAAAACTATCATATTTCTTTCTTATATCGAATTATGAAAGTTAAAGAAACTTATTAATTTTTTACATAAATGGTAGAAATTTTAGTATATCGTTAATTTTAACGATTATTTTTAAAAATAGTCTTGATAATTATTACTACATAGCTGAAAATCTTCAAAATTACGTAATAATGTAAATGAGTATTACTTTTTTCATGTACATATCTAATATCTCATAATGTGAAATATCGAGAGAGTATGAGAGAGAGAGAGAGAGAGAGAGAGAGAGAGAGAGAGAGAGAGAGATAATAGATACGATACAATATATACAATAGAACAATCAATTATCTTCTCAATTAAAATATTGATTATAAGTAACTCACTCTTCATAAGTAACTCACGGCTTAGAATAATTGAAATATTAGAAAAATAATTCTAAAATATTTCAAATCAAAACAATATTATAATTTTTCATGAGCTTTTATATAATAATAATTAACTATTTTGGAATTTCATATACAAATTAACAATAACTTACTTTATATTTATACAAATAACTTACGAAACGATTTCATTAACAGTAAAAATATCGACTACATTTATAAATTTACTTATAAATTAAAAATAATTTCACACATAAAATATTATAATTCCATAATCAATATAATTAAAAACAGCACGATTTACAAACATTTATTTGTATATTTTTATCGTACAATTATACCTACTTTAATATTGCTATTTCATTTTCTCATTATAATATTAAAAAAAATTTTTTTAAATTCAACTTTTCTATTTTGAGCAATAATGTATTAATTAATTTTTTTTAGATTAAATAAACAAGTTATTTATAAGGTGTCGCTTTATTTTAGAATAAATTAAATAGATAAATTCAACAGAATTTGTTTGGTGTAATAAATGTAAGTGATTCGGAAATTTATAATTTGAAAATATTGTTCAGTTATGTTTAAAAATCATCTATCCAACAGTTTTGATGTAATATATAATCCGAGAATTTTGTAAAATATTTATGTCCATTAAATGGTACATTTCGAATATTTTATTATTTATATTTGTACTCATTTCAAATTACTTTTATATCATGGAAAACATTGATAAGAAAATAAATAAATCTACCAAATGTACTATACAATTTTGATAATATATCAAGTTACGAAACGAAAAAAAATTATAAATTTTCAATTTTAAATATTTGCTATATTCAAGATATTTTGTATACAATGAATAAATATTATAATTTAAAGCACCTATGCTTATTTATTTTAAGCCTTCAATATATTATCAATCTAAATTCATTATCATAACACGTATGATCAAGTATGTACATAACAATAATATAATTTTGGAACAATTGGCTACGTTATAAATACAAAAAATACATAAAATTATAATTTTAAATGATTAAAAGAAAAAAAGAAAAAAAAGAAAAAAAAAGAAAAACAGTTATTTCAAATTTTATTATTTTAGCTGCCATTATGTTTCCAAATTCAGTAGAATATCAATTTTTTTTTTATTTTTATGATCAGTTTTACATTTACGTACATTATAAATCTGAAATTAATACGAATGTTGATATTAGTTATTAATGATATTGATTAGTTCTGCCGTTTAATGATATAATGCTTTTTCAAATTAAGAAATTATAGCTTTATTGGAAATAAATGTTTGTTTTATTTGAAATAAATGACTTTTTCGATAGACGAAATTTATGATAAAAATTTCGTCACATAAATTTGTCATAAGAGTTTCAATGAATAAAGTTTTTAAACAAAGTTTTTGATACTTTATATGTTTCATTTGAAATATATGTCTTTTAATCCATCAGTTGTCTTACGAGTAAATTATTAGACGAAGAATTTACTTTATGAAATAAATATTTTATGAAATTTTCAATACGCTGATTCGCCACATCAACATTGCATTATTTATAAACACACACAGAAATACGCGCACGCGCGCACACACACGGATATATGTATATATCCATTATTTGAAAATAGTCGCATATATTACACTTCGCTTAAGCTCGTTTTAGTTTCTGATAAAAATTTGACAAACATTTTTATTTCTTCACACTGCATTATAAGCGTTTGATTCAATAAATTTTCATAATGAAAATGCCGTAAAGTTAAATGATGTATAGGAGGAAAGGGACGAATTTCTCACTAAAACGTCGCGCCAGTCGAAGGTAAACCATTCTTCACTTGTAAGCAGCGTAAACATATCGAAGCCAGAGTATTATATGTCGATATATAGACTTACATCAGGATTATTGTTTTCACTCTCCATATCTCCATTTCTCAATTTTTCTTTGTCCTTTCATATCAAACATATTTACAAGAACAAAAGACTAGTTATTTCATATTTCCATGCCGATTACTCCTGCATTATCTATTACATGTATGCAATTTTTTATCATCTATATTTCCTTGCTTTTTTATCGCTTTTCAAATACAAAAATCAATAGTAATGAACAATTCCATTTAAAACAGCTTCACGATTTCAAAATTTCTTTCAAGCATAACATACATTAACATTCATTCAAGGTTTAGGCTATAGAAATATATTTTAATGGAAATTGGATTTAATAATAATAAAATCTAATTGAAAAAATTTTTTAAATTATTTGTTAGTCTTATACTATAATGATATAGAATTTAATATTATGCATCATGAATATGATTATTATTTATGAAAACTTTTATATTATGTTTTTAGACTTAAAAACGAACGAAGAAAAACTATTAATACTTTAAGTTTTTTTATTTTAAATCGTTTTTCTTTTACGATTAAGCAACTTGGACCTCATATACTTTATTAATTTTTTTAATTATTCATGATTAAAAATTATTTATTATCTACCATAAATATAATATTATCCTCTGTATTACTATTTTTATTATTGTTGATATTATTTATAATATTTTTAATATTACTATTATAATTCGAATACAGAACGTGCAAAGTTGCCAGCACAATAAACATAATAAGTAATTCTTTTATTTAATTTGTCGTTATTGAAATTTTAGTGATATGCTAATACATTAAGGCATAATTTAATGTTATATAGTCAAGAAGAA